GAGGGGGGGGGAGGTGGGAAGGAAAAGTATATTTTATTATCTTTTCTCTCAATTTCTTCTTTCAATCATCATTAATCGACTTGTAATATACTTCCACATGTTTCGACGAAATTAATTTCATTATTACTTCACGATGACAATCAAAACATGGATTACTCAGCAAGCCCGTTTATTCAGGCTTCAACGGGCGATTTATATATCACACAACGCACACCATCGCTCCCCATGATGCGATTATCCTCGTGAAATCATATCAACGCAGATTCTGCAGATCGTGATCGCGCGATGCGCGCGTGGCAGGACGATCCGTTTATCCCACTACGCCCGGGCAGAGATACCGCTCCGGCGGCACGCATTTCTCCGACACCGGCTCGAACACCAGGGTGTTCGGGCACGAGAGATTACTCATTATAGTGTAACGGAGGCCGTCCCAGTAGCACAGGTAATACATCTTGCAGTTCACGTCCGGCAGCGGGAATCGACCGTATCTCACGCAGGGTGCCGCGGTGGTGGTCGGCGTCGGCGTGGTGGTCGTCGTCGTGGTCGTCGTCGTTTGCCAACATATTCTCCCAGGTTCGCAACTTCCCAGAGCAGGATTGAACATGGCACCGGCAGCGCATGAAAGTATCACCGGCATTAGAGTCGCGCCGTTGTTCACGCATATATAATAATTCTTGCACGTGCCGTCATAGATCTCGAAAGCGCCGATCTCGGTGCAGGTCGGTGGAGTCGTCGTCTGTCGGCACGTCGCCCCGGCCGAGCATTTACCTAGAGCAGGGTCGAACACGGTCGTGGCGGCGCACGTGAACGTCACCGGCACCAGAGTCACGCCGTCGTCCACGCATATGTAATAATTCTTGCACGTCCCGTCGTAGATTTCGAAGGCACCGGCGTATGGACAGATCAGCAACGGCGCCTGAGCTTCCACGATCCCGATCGGGCAGAGGAACAGGAGGCACCACAAAGCGAAGAGGATGAAGTGCCTCGTCATATTGCCGTTGCTGCGCTATGCCAAGAGCGATTCGACGCGACTGTTCCCGATGCACTTACGCCCGAGGAGTTCTCGCGACATTCGGTCGCGTTGCCACGCGCCTGCCTCATTTATCGCGAGATGCTATTTAACTAGGATCTAAGTTAAGGCGATTGCACATCCAGCTGGAATCCGTACGCAAATAATGCGCATACCACTCTGCGATTTTGTCGTAAATTTCCGTGTCTTATCTGCAATCGATGTCACGAGACTCTCCACACCGTGAAAAGCTTAAATATCGGAACTCTTCAAACACGCCGATTCCTTTGAATTCTCCCGAGATGAATTTATTAGAATTAGAGGGAGCTGGCTCAATTTTATCGTGAAGTAAATATGACGTCTATGTCAATCATACGACGAGATTTCCTTTCTTCTTGTTGTGAAATTTTGCGACAAATATTTATTCTCAGTAATGTTCATTATGTTCTCGTCGGCGTTTGAATTAAAGGAAGAAAGAATCGAACGTATCTAAATGTATCAGTACACATATGTAAACGTATATGGGTGCACCTGAAAGGTTGACGAGGGTTCTATTAGTTGTACCGGTAGTGTTTCTCTAACTCGTTGATGTCCTTTGCTTTTCCCCCAGCTCAATCGAGTAATAATTCAGTGCCATATAATCACCGCGACCCGATAAAAGTGTGAGCGCTGCATGCTCGATGTCGTGAAATCGAGACGGCAGCTGCGCATCCCCGACGATCCTTTCCAGGTGAAACGATTCCGGGCGCGCGCGTGCTTTTGAACGCGGCGACCTTACGACGAGGAAACCGAGGGTGAATCTACGGAATACAAAATCGCCAGAAAGCGACGAGAAAGTCGCGCTGGGCTTAGTGTCCGAACGTAACATTGCTCGCAGTTGTGCGTGCTGGCACTGCGCGTCGATTATGCGTGCATATTCTGCACGTCTGTGCGCGTCGCACGCGAAATAGGTCGGCGTACGCGTATTCCGCGTATGTCGCGGGATTTATATTGCGTCTTGCAAGTCGTCGTCAGTTCGAAAACTCCTTTCGCCTCCGTTGCGTTGATTTACGTTGATTGCACGCGGAAGATTAACTGACGATTGAATTACCGAGGATACATAGAGAAAGATTTCCTTTGATTTAATATACGTGTTTGTTTGATATAAACGACATAATTCGGTTTCTTTAATATAAACGACATAATTTGATATCAAATATTATTCGAATGAAAATGCTTCGTTGTTTCGCTAGGATGAATCACGTTATTTGATGGAAAAATTAGTATTATTTAGAAGAAAGATAATATTTGGTTTTAAGTAAAAAAATTTATTTTATGATTATATTAAATGTTCTTCCACTGAAACAAAAGCAGAAGTTCTTCAATATTTGTCTAACATAGTGTTATTTTTTTAAAATAATTTATTGCTCATGACAATTATTATAACGTTTAGATGAAAACATCAGAGAAATATGTTATTCGACATCAGGATATTTATTGTTCGCGCCAGCATGTAATTTCAGCGGACACAGTTGTTTTAAACGAAGATGACCGTCGATTTTGTCGTTTTTTTTGCAACTGTTTTCCCCTCAGTGTATGATAAAACATAATACGGACGCAATGATCGATCATCGATATCAACACAAGACATTTTTACACCCGCTCGACGGATATTCCAGTCCACGAGTCCCGAATTCAGGTAGCCGTTTCCCGGCATTCACCGCATTATTGGAGGGTTTTCCGGGCAGATAGAAAATCTATTCTTTCTTCCATATAACAGCTATGCTGGGAGGTTAGTTACATATATAAAGATCTTTTCCTCCGGCGCAGAGGGAAACGTGCAATGGAAGGGAGTCACAAAGAGGGAGAGAAAGAAAGAGAGAGAGAGAGAAGAGACAGGAAAGAAGGAGAGAAGCGCAGATGTATATAAGCGACTTGGGCCGGAGACGCTCCAATGGACTCTCTCTTTGACCCTGGTCAAGTGCGCATCTTTCCTCCCATTTCCTCCATCCCCCGTTTTCCCTCCCCTCCACGCACGTGATAGTATACCGTTTCGATCCTGCGTCCTTCTACTTCAACCTTCACCTTCGTGCGGCGAGGAGGAGAATCCGGGTCCTCGCGCTCTCGCCGGTCGCGCTTTTGCAGTGTCGCGAGGATGACGGAGTAGGACGTAGGAGTTTAGCGGGAGATATTCAGTTTCGCTGCGAGAGGAGAGAGAGGACGAGCAGTGAGATCCCGCTTTTCGCGTGCGGACTTGTGACATGTTTCTAACGGGAAGGTCCTGACTGTGGGAGAGATGGACCCCCGAAGAGTGAGTAGCAGTAATAGTAACAGTAACGGAAGACCTCGTTAATTTCGCATTTCGAGTACAAAGAGCCTTCAGCGGGTAATCGTCGAGTCGTTAATGCTGTCGGGTCCACGATATCGATCGATGTGACATCCGGAACTTGCCGAGTTGCCGCCAAGTTGCCGTTCATACGGTAAAGTTTGCGAATTCGTTTCATCTCGTGGTCGAACGATCCGCAAATTAAAACCGCAATTTTGTAAAAATTCGCGAACGCTTCTCCGAATTCTCTTCGTGAATTCGATCGATACCTCGGCGCGTCGTAATGTCACTCGCGATTAAAAGAATAATTGGATGAATCGTGCGGGCCCAATAATCGTGAAGTAACGAGCAACGTGATGGACTTGATAACATAAAAAATACGTTTGTCACGCTTTCGAATCTAATTTATTATATTGCATATGGACGGAATGAAGACTCGGGAACTCCTCGGGTACACATGAAGCGTCCTATCGACGGTGAAATCGCTTCGAATTGATTTGCTTGCTCGACGCGCACGAGTTAACAAGTACCGTTATACAGTTAATGGATCTCGTAATTATAATAGGCACAGATAATTGTGGAAAAGTGATCGCGCGCGAGTGTGTGCGTGAGCCATGAATATTATCTCGTAAAATCCGCCGCAAACTTCCTGCTATCGGATTCACTGCAAAATGCCCAAATTACGATCACCTCGACGGACCGATCTCGCGGAAATCGGTATTACGGGGGAGGGGAATTCATTTCGCGAAGTCATGTTCCCTAATTAGCCGGCGCGCAATATCGTCCGGGCAGTATGTTAATGCTATGTCTCGAAAGCCGCGGCTGATTTATGCACGCCATGAATCGCCGATCGCGCGCGCGCGCGCGCGTGCGTACGACGAACAAACGACAAAGACGGTACGTCGCTTTCGAGACGAACGATCAGGCCGTTCGGCGCGGAGCGAAGTCGAAGAGGGAAACTCTTTCGGACGACCTAAATCTGTCGCTTTCTGATTCGCACGCCTCGTCTAGTCGCGGTTTCCGAAAATGTGCGAAAATCGTCTAGTGCGCGCGGTTAAGCATGCGTTTAATCCCTTCCGCAGCGCGGATATATCGATGCACCCGCCAGGACGAATGTTTGGATATCGCCTCGGAGATTTTTCTCATTTTGCTAATGAGGATTAACATTCGAGGGACGCGTGTCGGCTTTTTTCGGCTGATGTTCAACGTCGCTCTAGTTTCAACTTCGGGTGTGCACACAGCTGTACCGATGACAGACGGAAGGTAGGAAACGCGAGAGATCTCCGAAGAGGAGATTTTAGGCTTACTTTCTATTGTCGCGCTTTATCGGACCGGTTTTGATTGAAGTGTCCGACATCCTCAAACAAAAATATGGTGAAGAGCTATTTATCTGCTTCAGCTGAGCGTCGACTTTCAAACGCAGGCGCCGTTAGTACCAGGCCGGTCGGAATGTTCGTTTCGATTTTTAGTAAACGACGTATCGCGTGTTGCGTCGTAATACGGGCGACATTGACAATGATTATTGCTTGGTGATGAATAATCGCTCGACAACGACGATTAATGACGAACAGATTATTCATCATTCAAATCGACAAGTGTGATTGGTATTCACTGAACAGTTAACATTTGAAGGAAAGATCGGGCCGGATGTTTCGACTGACTCAATAGTGTCTCGGTGTAAAAAAGAAAAGAAAACGGTGTCATCACACTCTCCGTGACGTTCAATGTTTCCACAATTTGTCAACATCGTTGACAAGCCCGAGTGGATGTGCGTGTCCAGTCTACGCACGTGTGACGCAACACGTGTGTGTGCTCGCACCGTGCCGTTAGTTTGAAGAAGCGCGACAAGTAAGTCGACGATTGCGTTGACAAAATAAAGGTGAAACCTTCTTCTCCGTTTGTTAGACGCGTCCTTTCGCGACGACCGGTTGTCAATAGTGACACATTCGTCGCCGGATGTGGGTCGTGCTTTCTTCGTGCATATCTCGCGGAGACGCTCCCCAATACAATTTGTCTGTGTATAGATTCGGCCTTCATCTTTCCTCTTCACTTCGCGGAGCGATGGGAGTTTTCAGAGCGAGAGAGCTCGCCGAAAGAGCACATCTCTAATCTTGCCGTTCCCCAAATAAGACGATCCACGGCTCCATTTTCCTCAGTCCGCGAATAGCGAGCTTCAATTAGTCGCGGTAAAACGCGCGGAACGAGACGTGGGTTTGTTCTCTTTAAAGCTGGAGCGATATAAATATAAATACGACGATTTTTCGAACTATCGAAATAAAACAATAAAACGGGAGAAACGCGCGAAATTGGCGCCTATTGTCGCCTCTCTTTGATTTTCGTAACGCGCGCCCAACTGGAGCAGCTCGCGATGTAAATACGACGACGTTAACTCTCACCGTCTCGGCGCTCCTGTAATTGTCTGCCGCGATGTCGAAGCACCGTTAGGCCGTCCGTCTTTTCTACAAGTTCGTCGAGATCCCCTCGATTTTCACCCGACCGTTCCCACGGGATCGCCGAGGCTTCGCTTGGTCTCGAAATTTGCTGTGAAAAGTGACAACGTCCTCGGTCTCGGGCGCGTTTCGCATGCTCTCTCTTAGAAAATTGGCCGGGAAATCCGAATCTCTCGGATTATTACATGTCGCCCTTCCACGAGAAGTGATTTAATCACGAATTCCAACGCGAATTCTAACATCGCTCGCGAAGAAGATTACCCGCACGCGGAGACATCATCGAAAGTTTCGCCTTCGCGTATATCGATTTCACGGGACATCTCGCCGGGATTTCTCGGCCGGATTAGCCTCGCTAATCAATGATAATCGTTTCATTTCGGGCAACGTTATCCCAAACTACCAAGAGCGCAGCCTTGTTATCGGTAATGCTTCGTCTCGATTAGCGCCGCTGTTCATTTTCCGATACACGGCTCCCAGTGGACACACACACACGTGCACGCACGCATCATGCTCACTCTCGCACTTACACGCGCGCGATCCCGCGTTACATCGTTTTCTTTCACTGTGGGCCCCTCGACTCTCGTAATACCCACAGCCCACTTACCTACATTACCAGTTTCGTGTGTGTGCGCCCGCTACATCCACCGTTTGGCGACGCGCGCGCGCGCGCGCGCGCAGTGGCGTAATCAATTTTAACAATCGGACATTTCAGTAACGAACCTCTCTCCGCGGCTGTATGTTCTTAATGACGACGAAGCGACCACTGTCAGCGATTATGTGCCCCTCCGCCGCTTTCGGCCGGATGTTCACTAACATCTATAACGCTCGCTCGTGTTACATTAAATATCGGACACGCGCGCCACCGTCACAACTGAGAACGCGCGATCGTTAATTAATGCGAATGATTATTGTTGCTTGACGACAACGGTGAATAATCGAATCGAAAAGTTCCGAGCTGTTTTGTCAAAAGAGGTCATGATTTATAGCGACTTTCCAGACATATCTTTATAGCTAAGCCTTAAATTGAAGTTCCGTTAAAGTAAATCCGTTTGAATTTGAATGACGGATATAGATTTGTTATCTACTTGGTCGCTCGAAATCCTGCTTTTCCAGTTGCTTTTGTAAACTATTAACATCTCGACATTTTCACTCGATACTTTTAATTGAAATTTTCACGAGGAAATAACGATATGCGAATGGTGGGCGTTAATTAAGGAAAAAACCTTTCAATCAAGAAAATACCGTACAATCAAGAAAATCAGTATAATCAGAGAGACACGAGAATCACTATAATTCGAATAAGATTACCTAATTTCTTCTCTAAGTGTATATTTCCGTGCTCGTTTCGGCTCGCAGTATTTCATCGGCGCGTTCTCAGACGTTCATGCCGCTTTAACAGCGAATTTATGCCGACGGACCGCGCACGTCGACGACCGCATCGACCCCGACGACGTGGTTACGCTGCTGCGAGTGCACCCGTGCGCATTTTCTCATCTTCTCTGTGCCAAGACCCCTCGATCTCGCGTTGCGATCGGGAGCGATGTATCGCCGCGACTCCGGCAGAACCATAATCTTTCGTCTAAACGAGCGTGACGACTCGAACGATTAGAGATGAGAGGAGTGGTGGAAAAGGGGGGGGGGGGGGNTCGATCGACGAATGTCGGTTATCGGATGGTGCTGATGATGATGATGATGAAATCACCGGTGTGCCAAATCCGCGTGCTCTCGCCCCAGCTGTTTTCTCGCCGGTCGAGAAATCGAATCTATCCGCTTCTCCCACTGGATCCCCGGACTCGCTTCCTCATTCTTGATCTTAAGAACGCGCAGGGGAATCGCTATTATTCTTCGATTCGATTAATAGCTGCCGGGTGTCCATAGCCTACTGACTTTTCTCATTAATCTGCCGCCTCAGGAAATAGTGTCGCGCCACATCGCACCACGGGCGAAGGTGTCGACGTATTCAGGAGGGAGAAAAAGAAGAAAAAGTAGGCTGACGGATGCTGAATATCAAGTCGAATGTAATTGATTCGCGCAGACATGCCGTAGACTACGAGGCTCTGTATTATTACACGCATCCGGTACGAAGGAAGGGGTACAAAAATGAACTGGTACCGAGTCGGTACCGCGCGAGTCGCGTGGCGTGCGCTCGCGCATTGTGTACGCGCGCCGCGGTGACCCCCGTCGCCGGCAATTTGCATAATGCACGACCGCGACGCGCGCGTAACGCACCATTAGATGGATTAGCCTTTTGCTCGGCTTTCGCGCGTATCTCTCCTTATCCTCCGTTTCTTCACTTTCCTACGCGGCTTCCGGCTCGACGGACAAACACGGTCATCCGCGACTACTCTCGTTCTCTCTCACGGTAGAAGAGAGGGAGCAAAGGAGACGGAGATAGATAGAAAGAGAGAGACAGGCAGAGGTCCGGTTTTTCATTTTCTAGTTAACAGATTGAATTTGGAGTTTTCAGAGCGAGAGAGCTCGCCGATTGAATTTTGATGCCTACCTTCCAACAACCTATTTTGACGCGACAACAGCGGAAAAAGAAATCGAAGACTTCATCATAATCAAAATAGGAGTTATATTATATTAGAGCTGAAGTTAAACTTGCTTTGCTATCTTGGTTTCTACCATGTTGCAGAATTAGAACTTTAACACAATTTCGATTCAGGTAATCGTGAAGAGAAAACGTGATTTTTACATTATCATCAGATCGTATAAGCCTAAACAGAAGTTAATCAGAATAGAAATTAACTATTATCGGCCTTGAACTTCTATTTTTTGCCGTTGTAGCATCAAAGTAGATTGTTGAAGGTGGCATTAAAATTCAATCTGTAGAATTCAAGATTCAAGAGAGAAGTGAAAAGTGTTAGTATCGTCGAAGTAGGCTTTTATCAGTCCACAGCCCGTCTAAGTAGGCGCAAACTATCTTTAAGAGTATCCGAGTAGCATCCAAATTTCAATTCGGATAATCGTTAAAATTTAAAAGTTACCGCTGAAAAATCAGTTTAATGATTAACCGTAAGTAGAAGAAACAATTTTTGCGTGATTATCAAATTAAGTTTACGCCACAAATTGACAAGAAAATGAGGAGGGGGGAGGGGGAACGGCACATACACATGTGCACGCGCATGTCGCGAGGAACTGGCACGTGGAGCTCTCCCGTGGCGTCTCTTATTCAATTTATGTGAGAGAATCTCAGCGACTGGCGCGAGTCAGACGGCGGATCGCGGTTCCTCCGCTCCTCGTTCGTTTTCTTCGCGGTCTTCCGCGACTTTCTTCTCTCCCTCTGTACCAGCGCGAACGGGGAAAATCTGCGCGGGCATTTCCGCGGGGGATCGAATCCGCCGGTGAGTTCTCGACCTTAGCACCGATACTGCGTTCGCATACCTCTTGACCCGCGTTGCCTCTTTGCATCTTTAATGACCGGCTGACAGCCTCGGACTTTCCTCGAGCGCGCGGGATGATTGCGGAGCTCTGTATCGGCGAAATAGGTTGCAGAGTCGTCGAACTTGGCGCTCAATAGCGTCTCGCAAATCGCCTCGAGCCGGCCAATTTTGAAATCGCAGGCGCGCCGAGCGTGCGCCGAGCGGGACGCGTAAAAGGCGCTCGGCAAAGCTTGAACGACGTTGTACTCGCTCAATGACACGGGTGAGGAACGCGGAATCATAACCGCGCATTGAGCGTGTGATTCGCCGGCCGGTAGCCCGTTTCGCCAGACAGCCAGCGGACGGATTGTTACCCGCGACGGTTTTCACTGCGCGTTTCCTCGCGCGCGGCCGCGCGCATAAATTACGCGCGAGTCGAAGTGGCGCGTTAAAGCGGGGTAATCAGCTGAATCCAGGACTAAGGAGAGGAAAACCGAGTCCCCCCGACGAGGACTACTCCGCCGTCGTCGCCGTGGAGTAACGAGGGAGAGAAGACGTCTAGTTTCGCGCACGGCATACATAATCCACGGCGACGCAGAACGATTCTCACGGGGCGACCCACTTCGCGCCTCGCGTCTTATTCCCCTTCTCGCCGCCATTGACTACTGTCGCGGGAACTACACATGATAATAGAACGCGCGCGAGGGCTTTCTTTCGTCAAATGATACCTCGAATAATATCGGCGTCGCCGGGCGAGGAGAAAGACCGCTGTTAGCGCACGCCTCAATTAACTTCAACCGACTAGTCGCTCGTTTATTTCTCTCGTTTGTTTCTCCCCGAACGTTCGATACGCGACGAAAACGCAAGAAGCGCGCGTTGGTGGACGCATTCCGCCGTCGGGCGATCTTCAGGATCCGCTTTAACGCGACGCCCTTACGCGGTTTCAGGTCTTACTACTTTTGACCCTGCTGGTATGCGCTCTCGGCGCATCCCCGTCGTCCTTCAAGAACGCGCGGAACGGGCCGAACTTGATCCGACGCACTCGCAGAATCAGCTTGAACGAGTTCCTCGTACCGCCGCCGCCGCCCAAGTTCCCTCCCGACAGGACCGCGAGATTGGTACCCCCGGCCGAGAAGTCGGGCTATTTTTCCAAGCTGATGACCTGGCTGAACCCCTTCAGCTACGTCCCCGCGTCGCCGCTACCGCCGCCGCGTCTCGAAGCTCATCCCCCGCAGCCGAGGTTCATTCAGCCACCTCCTCCCCCTCCGCCGCCCCCTCCGCCGATTTCCGGATCCTTCGCGAGCGGTTACGGCGGCTCGCCTCCGGTTTACGACAGGCCGCCTCTCCCACCGATCTTTGCCAACCATCCCCGCGCCCCGACGAAGAACTGCAACCCCTGCAACAAAGTGCCCTGGGTGCCGATAAATGGCGAAGCTTCTCACCACCATACGGCGGAAGCGTCCCTCGTCCCACCATCGTCGCTGCCGCTTCAATCGTCACCCTCGAGCGGGAGCTACCTACCACCCGGTAATCCCGGAGCCCACGACGTTTATCACGCCGCCTCGCAGGAAGTCCGAGCTCCGGACCTCTCTTTCGCGTCGACGTTGCCCACCGCAGGCCAGAGCGTGCCCTTGCTCAGCCCGTTACCGAGTCCGCAAGTGTACCTTGGAGCGACGCCGCCGCTCTTCAAAGCAACGGACTTCACTTACCCCGTGCAATCCACTCTGGGTGGGCTCCCGGAGTGGGAACTGGCCGGACCACCGCCCTCCGGGAGCAGTCTGCTTACGGGAAATGGCGTCTTCCCGGTTGTAGTGGAATCCAGCGGCAATAACGGCCACATCGCGCAGCCCACCTACCCGAGTAACCCTCTCGCTCATCAACACGTGGAGTACACCGGGCTGGAACTTCCGCACGTTCGGAATCCCGGCGGACACGGTGACTTGTTCTCCAGCAGCACCCAGGTGTCTCACGGCCATGTCGGTCCCGCGTTGGGCGCGCAGGGATTCGAGAATATCGCGGCTTATCATCAAGACTCGCTCGATCCCGCGAGCCGTCAACCTTCCTTCGGCGGCTCCGCTCCGGCGGGTCAGCTGGGAGCGGCCGATAACGGGGGGTTTCATGCCACGGAATCGAACGGATTGGGCGATCTCCTTGATAACCCCAGGCAGATCGTTCCGAATCCTCCCAGCAGCTACGGGACTTCCGGCCTTGATCGGGCGCCGGATAATTACGAGCATCGCTACAACGACTTGTCCTCCAGCGGCAGCGTCGTTACGGATTCCCACGTGGCTCCGCGCACCACGGACGGATCTCCCGCGAAGATTGAAGATCCAATACATTTCGAAGAGTCACCGTTGCTAGATCTCACGCACAAAGGTGAAAGTCGGACGGACTCGTCCCCGATATCATCGCCGACCTCTAACGCGTTCGCGGACTTGAACGGGAGTATCGGCGGCGTGACGACCTTGGCGCCCGGCGTCGAGTTCTTCGGCCCGGATCTTCCCGACCTGACGGAGTCACGTTACCCCGTGGACGTGCTGAAGACGATCGAGCCTTCGCTCGACAAGTCGAACTCGATTGACGACGGCGCGAACGTTCAGGTCGCCGACGGTATTCATCATCCTGCGGACCCTCAAGAACAGAAAGTCTCCTACTTTCAATCGCTCAGCCACAGCCTGGCGGGATACTTCCGGCCAGATGTTTCGTCGACGACTTCGAGAAGCACGGAGAGAGGCTCGTTCTGGGGCTCTCTGGTGAACGTTTACGACGGTGTGCTCGGACACCAAGGCGAACAGTCTGCTGAAAATATCGACGTCGATTCCGAGGAGGACGAGACGCGGGACGCGAATCAGCAGGGCCCGAAGAGGAACAAAAAGGTGAAAAGCCGAAGGCTTTCTCGGGCGGAATGCGATTTCAAGGGAAGCGCGTTCTCGTTATAACCCTGTTGTCGCGATTCGAATTGTTTAGGTGCAGGTCATCATACCCTACACGTCGAAGCACACGCCGGTCCCGTTCCAGCCGGTGCGCGATCAGAATTACGGACGGAAGGTCTCCTACACGGCTGACTCCGGTCGAGATAATTACATCAGCGAAGAGTCACGGAATAAGATTAAAGTGACCGATCTTCCGACTTGGCCTGCCACTGTGGCGATAGAGGAAGAAGTCACCGGGAAACCGGCCGGCACTAAGGTGAACAACTCCATTGACGTGCACAGATTGCAGAAGAACATCGACAACTGGACGATACAGGCATGTTGCACCCTCCGGATAAATTCTCGCAAACATATGCAGGCCTGAAGTTGAGTTCGTTCAATTCGACTCAAGTCGCTTCGATTGATACTTTTTTTTTAAACGCACATTTAGGGTAGTCAGATCCTACGTTCTTAAGTTGAATCAGTGAAAATGTCATTAATTGAATCAGTAAGCCAGAATTCTACCTACTATTTGATGATCAATAAGTATTTGTATTTTTAGTGGAAATACTTCCACTTAGTTCTTTTGCACTTAGTGTATTTATAACATGCATTAGTGATGTCAATTTCGGGTGTAGAATTGCGCAGATTATAATGACAGCGTCGATAAATACATTTGTTACCAATTTGAGTGCTACTCGTTTACCTGGGTATAGAAATACCCAGATTGTGAAGGCACACGGCACCATGATAAACGTATTCGTGTAACTTCATCTGTGCTCGATTTAGGAATATTCGCGGGGCACAACCGCCAGTACAGTATCGCCCAGCTCGGCCAAGCCGTATCTCTTCCCTTCGAAGCAGATTCCAGACAAGTACCTGACGACCACCGAGCCTGTCGATCACACGGAGGACGACTTTCGCGATGAAAGTGTCAAGACCTTCACATTGGGCGGATTCAGCTTCAACGACCAAGAACGCGAGGCTTCATCCAGCAATCGCATGGAAGGACCTCGAATACAAGTAAATAAGCGAAACCTCGGGGAGGTGGACGAAGAATAATACCACGCTTCTCTCGTGTTTCTCTTTCAAGGTGGTAACAGGCAACAAGGATCAGGAGCCCACGGTCTCGACCGAGAGCTCCGTCGCCATTGTTACCGCACATTCGACGAACGACTTCACGTGGCAAGGTTTCCCCATGGACATTTCTCCGGTGAGCAAGGAACGAGTCTACGTGGTGACGCCGCAGCCGGTCCTGACCACATCTAGGACGACGACGACGACGATGACGACGACGAAGGAAACGGAGAGAAACTCGAAGGTATCGACCGAGGCTTCGGAGACGGACACCGAGGAGGTCAAGGAGGAGACCGATCCATTCGAGTCCATCGAGAAGGCCTATCAGGTGCTGCCTCAGGCTGTGAATAACTTGGCGGTGGCTTCCACTGGTCCGGAGAAAGTTCCCCTCTGGGGCATTATGGAACACGAGGAGTTCGGCTCGCTCGGCGACAGCGGCCACGACGATCACGAGGACGGCGAGCCTGAAATCCCTGTCCTGTACGGTGGGCACTCGAAGGCACGTGTCGACTTCGCCGACTTCTCGTCTCTGCATATCCTGATCCGTTCTAACGCTTCGAATATATCTCCTTTACAGGTGTCACGTGCCAGACGATGACGCATCAACGTGAAGAATGCTCAAGACTATTGTTTGTGCATGTGTAGACACAGTGTCTGACGTGGTGTGTGCTTTACCGCGAACTACGAGCGAAGTCGTTGCTGAAAACGCAGCTGACCGATCGCGTTTTCACGGGACCTCTTGAATTTGACGACGCCTTCATCAAACGGATGCTCCGATCCTGCGTAAGTGCGTAAGTGATTATCGTGGCCAGTGCAGCGGATCAATGTATCACGTAATTCGAACGCGAGTGTACTTTTTGTAAGTTTCTTTGTCATAAGTAACCGCACAATAAATCCCGGTGGATTTCACTCGGAGGGTCGCATATCGCAACCACCTCGTCGTGACCTCCATCTCATCTTCCTCCTCTTCGCACCCCCCATTCGGAGAAATTGTACATGGTAAAAAAGAATTTGCTCCCACAGCTGGAAACTAACTTTCGCAGGTAAAAACTGACTGTCCATGTGATATAACTTAAACTGAGTTAATTTAGCTAATTTTTCGTCTCTGCGTCTAGTTTTTAATTTCCTCAGCTAAAAACTAGGTCTGGCTACCAAATTTTCGTTGTATTAACATGGATAGCTAATTCCTTTTCTCTCGTGAATTACTTTCAGGTCTCAACTATGTTTCCTCTTATGGCTTTAACCGCAAAAATAGCAATAGCAATATGCATATAAGATTATTATCCTCGACAGTATAGTGACACTTATTAGAAATTGGTTCTCCCGACTATAATTCTTTCACTACGATGGTTACAGTTCCAAACATTAAATATTTTTCTCTCAGTGTCAGAGTCTTAGAAAACCGTTCCGGTTTTCTCGCAGTCCGTCCGCGTTCACCCGTCCACCTTAATTCGCCTTTTACGCATTCGCCGGTCACGTTCGATCGTCACTTTCGCCGGTTTCGCAAAGCTGGACGTCCGCCAAGAAGTGTCACGACTATTCGCGCACCGCTGCATCTAAATATACGCCGGCGTGTGTTATGCATACATGCATATTGGTCGATTGTACGGTGAAAGGGACTCGGGATCGCGAAGCGGGATTCGAGCAGCTCCTTCCCTTTTCATTGGTTCTTGTGCAAAATAGTACAACAGAGAAAGAGAGAGATACGCGATGCCGGTACGACGACGGTTCAACAATACGATGTTCGACAAAAGCGTTTTGCATGTGTATGCTTCCCTCAGACTCTGGTCTTCTTAGACGCGAGAAAGAAATAGAAGTGGCTTCTCTATGGCTTGACTTCCCGCATTGCCAAGGGAAAATTGAGCGATAACGTGCTCAGAAAGATTATAAATTTAATGAGCGAGAAGTCGGCGCGAGAGCCAGATGAATGTAACAGCGCTGAATAGATCGGCCGGCTCGATGCAACATTATCTACATTTCATTGACCTTCGAACTTCCTTTCCGGGTCTCCTCCAAGGAGATCACACGTTGCTTGTCGCAGCGAGAGACGTGAGAACCGCCGCCGCCGGAAGGAGGTGGGAAAAGGCGTTCTATTGTCTGGGACGGTGTATCGTGCTTGTTCGTCGCTAACACTCCAACCACCGCCGCCGACAACATCGCGAGGCGCGATTAGGCGCTGTAATTAGATCCACTTCTGCGGTAAATGGTATCGAACAAGGACACGACCTTAATTGCGAGCGTACCGCAAGGGGAGAAGTCTAACGTGCCGCCACCGTAAGAGACGCGTAAGAATTTTTAATTCCCTTTCACGCGCTTCTCGCGCGTGAAATCGAGAATCGCGCTGGAATAGGTGTGAGCTTCTCTTCTGGGAATTTCAAGTTAACTCAAGGTGGGTCCGGACTTCATAGTTCCGCGCGCTTTTGCACGGTTTCGAATTTCCCGCTCGTGACACACGTGTCGTTGTAAATAATTTATTTACAGAGGCATATAGTTATTTGGTGTGTGTGTGTGTGTTTTATGTATTATGTTATAATCATGTGGGCGATCTCGATTTTCGCCGTGCGATTCTCTTCAGAATGACGATCTCCGTCAGCCACATAATCACCGTGACGGCGGTCACGCAATTGACCAGGATGATGCAGGGTGTGTAGCTCCCGGTTTTGTCTCGTATCAAACCTGCAACAAATCAGGTCCTCCGTTTCAGTATTCGTTGGTCCATAATCACTTTGTACTTCGCATGATCAAATGAAAAATGACGGCATTGTTGAAAGAGATTGACACTCGAAGAGAAAGCGGACGAATATTCCTATACCAACTAAGGGGCCGACACATGTGAGGATCACTCCGTTGGTCAACATCTGAATGCCCGAGGCGCTGGGTAACTTTTCGATGGGCACGTAACTGGGAATCACCAGGACCATGTAAACCGACCGGACTCCTTTCGCCACTCCCAGACCGACCGTCACGATCAGCACCGTGGTTAAGCTGTTCGTGAAGAGCAGCGCTGCGCCGGGAAACAAGCAAGAATACAATCGTAACCTCCCTTTCTCTTTCTTCCTTTCTTTTTTCTTTAAGAGGAAATTCAATAACGGGATATAATCGGTATACGTTACAGCTTCGGCTAATTATGAGAAGGCACAGGCTGAGCAGGTACATCATTCTGGCCGGCTGATGGAGCCACTCCCCCAGGAAAGGAGACGCGCCTCTGCTAAGGAGATCACTCAACGCGATGAGGCTCATGGCGCTGGCAATTTGCGGCGTCGACATGTTCATGTCAGCGAGAATGAACGGTGTCAGTAGCGAGAAGTTCGCCTCCGCGAAAATCGCCACTGACATCCCGATCATCATGTTCACGTAGATCGGGTCGCGCAGCAGATCGAGATCGTACATGGAAGCTAGCCACCGCAGAAATCGCCAGACGACGGATTTTTTCTCGTTACTGCAACACAATCACGTTATACCATGTGTATTGCGTTAGAAACATAAGTCAATAAATCAATAAATGAAAATGGTACTCTTTCATATCTCTTATTTTGTCGAGCGAATATTGTTTCTGTTCTACGCATATGTTCTACGAAAACAGTTGGAATGAGAGAGAGAGAGAGACAGAGAGAGAGAGAGAGAGAGAGAGAGAGAGAGAAGGAATATATGAAATAATATTATACTTTGTTTAATATCGCTTATTTATTACGCTATTAGCGATCAGTGATTCACTTTTTTGAATGCTCCTCTTTCATCAAATAAAACCGCTTGGAAACATCTAATTTAATTTTTTCGTTTTTGGTAATCAATATTCCAAGTGCCATAACTATGTTTTCAATAAAAATAGTTCTAATGCTAATCTGAGACCCCTATAGGAAATAAACAAACTGATTCTTCAATTAAAAAGTTTTTGTGAAATTATTCTAACCATTAATGAATTAACAGACATATCGGCACTTTTCTCATAACATACTTCTCATAACGTACTTATCGTTGTCGTCGTCTACTATGGTCGAACCGGTATCTGCCTTTTTCTCGATCAGCGAGTCTTTTTCCACGTTGTTCTGACAAATACCATTCGCGTCGTTGACATCGATGAAGGTCAGTTTTTTCGTTATCGGCACGGGCTCCTCGAAAATCTTTATACTGCTACCGAGGTTGATGCTATTCACACTTTTCGCTAAAAGTACACAGGATGTTAGATTTTGCTCATGGTCATTAATTTTAATAATCCTTTGACATGGCTGGAGTTGATTTTTCCTCGGTGGGAATGAATTCAAGCGTTACACGTTGAAAATCGAAAATTTATGATAAACATAATAATTTTTCTCTGACATTTCCGCCGAGAAAAAAAGTCGACTCTGCGTGTTTCTAAAGAATAGTGATTTTTTATCGTTACGATCTGCTCATAGTTACTCGAATTCCACCATGGAACCATTGCACCATTCAAATATTTGCGGCTGCCATGTAAACTCGTCATCGATGTCCCGTTCATTATCGACATCTCGATGTCGTAATTCGTGTCATATGACGCGTCTGAAATTTGAAATTATGTCGAAATCATTCGTTTTTAGATTAATTTATAATCGATAAATCATTATCTTATTATCGGATCGTACTTGCTCTAGTCTCTACAGAAGTTTGCCGAGGTAGTGGTGTATCGAATCCATAGATACTTCCGACCTCGCTATCGTGATCGATGGTTGATATTTTTCTTTTCATCTGATAATTGTTTGCTATCGATCTCGAAGGTTGCAATATTGTCTCCTCTTCCGCGTTAACGTTTGACGTATCTGTGAGAAATTGAGAATTATTGATCAGAGAACGAAAAATAGAGGAAGAGAGAGAGAGAGAGAGGGAGAGAGAATCTTTAATGTTGTACAGTCGATCTTTACTGAACGAGTAGGTACCTTCGGTATTGTTCAAAATGTCGGGTGTTTTAGTGACCGTTTCTAAGGAGAGAGGCTCGCTTTTTTTGTGCCACTTAAGCGGTTGTAACAACAAAGCGCCCACCGCCGAATGCAGACTATAAGCGCCAAACAACAAGATCGTTCCCTGTTTAAGAATAGTGCTGTCAGTATAAATTGGATATTTCTATATTCGGTACTCAGGTATCGCAGTATCTCGAGTACTACACGGATGTTCAAGCTCATGTATATTACGTGGGTTTTCGGGTACTAAAATATTTAGTAGTAATTTGGAAGTAGTTTGTTCCTCTTATAATATGAAAAATACTTGGGTATCCTAATAGTACTCGAGAGACCAAATATCTAGGTAGTACTCGAGTATAGAACCTCACGTATAATATCCGGATTTTCAGGTATCAAAGTATTGACATAATATCAAAATATCTTAGTATTATTCCAGATACTAGTTTTCCGGGTAGTATACGGTTGTCCAAATTCGCGAATACTTCCAAATACTCAAGTATTAGGGTAATTGGAAAAATACCCAGATACCCTAGTAGTATCTGAGATAGTAAATATATGGGTACTAAAATAACCTGGGCAATTAAAATACCCGGGTAATTAAAAAGTTTCCCAAGTAGTTGGGTAATATCTAAGATTATCAGCTTCCCCGAAAATATTCGAGATACCCGGGTGTCAGGAACTGACATTGCTTTTTGCGATATTTACGTTTCTTGAATCACGAATAATGCTCTTCGGTAACGGTAATTCGCACATAACTATAACTCGCGTATCGGGACAAGCGGAAATAATGAGAGGGAGAGAAATCGAAAGAAAAGGAAAAAAACACACGGTCTTGCCGAGTGCCCCATTAAACTTGCCACCATAAATCGATAGTCCCGCGCGCGGAGGATCGCGACCACCGTCACAATATTAACCAGATATCGTACGACTAGCTCGACAGCAAAACAAACGGGCCGACCCACATCGATAAGTAATTGTTGCGGCGCTTTATGATCGGCTTTAATCCTGGCTGGAGATAATGGAGATAATTACTGGAGATACCGGTCTTATCGAAATCGCATGTGCGAGAACACACCGGGACTTTAATATTTCCTGTGCCCGGCGTCCCTTTTTCAGCGCGATCCTTTCGCGCCGAGAGCACCTTCGCGATCTTTCGGCGGACGCGTTACGTTACTCGCCACTGAGACCTGTAACTCGGTGACTCGGTACCTGAATGCCGTAAGTCGACAATAAGAAGGACGTCACTTGGGGCATGACAATCGGCCCGAGTCCCGTGATAGTCACGGCCAGGGCCATTGCTCGTGTCCGTTTCGTGGTGAAGTAGGAATTTATTGCCAGGGAAAATCCGGACATCGACATTCCCATGCCGAGAGCTGTGAGAAAGGTGTATAAATGGGATCGACGATTAGTTAACGCGGTGTGCCGTGAGAAATTTACAATTAAGTTTTAATATTTATTTACGGATATTCATATTCTGTCCGTAACGAAGGTAACGGTTTTAATCACAGGCTGGTAACAACGCTCGTCGAGTACCGGGCTCTCTTGTCTTACTCACAGGTCAGTATCCCGTAAGAAATGATAATGAGGGTGAAGTTGTTGGCGAACGCCGTCATCATCATCCCGCCCGTGTACAGAAGGGAGCCGAACATCGACACTTTTCGGTAACCGTAGGTCTTCAGGAGGGGTCCATTGAACAGGCCGAATATCATGCCGAACGCGAAATTCACGTTAATTATGACCGCCGTGTCAGTCGCAGTGAGATTGAGCTTGGCGAAGGAATCCTTGAACACCAATCCGAACGCTTGCATCACCGATATAGTCGACAGCTGCGGAATAATGATCCTCGGATTATTTTGCTATCGCGTTTCTCAGGACGAACTTCGAACTTCACGGCTTGATTGCGGACATCGCACGCACATCTTGATTTTTTCATCGCTCTTAGACTCTACGATCTTTAACACATTAGCGCGGCCATGTGTTGTTTACGCGGTGTTCCTTTACTGAATAAAAACTCCCACTTGAGAGCGCGTATCTTTATTCTTATGTTATCAGCATTTAATTTCACTTAATTTCCAGTTACATTTCTATGCCTTCGATAAGACCATTTCTAGTACTAATTAAAGATTTCTCTGGGAAGTAAACGGATCTTTTAATTAAATGTGTTTGTAAAATAATTATGGCCTTTAATGAGTTATTCAATATGATTTTCGAGTTAGCACCGCGTCTTTCATCCAAGACGGTTTCGGAAACCTCGATTTCCTCACCCCGAAGAAGTGAACTGAAATCTTGGCGAAACGCCGGGAACAAGAAAATCAAATTGAAAGTTTACTCAAACCGCGCAAGCCTAAAATATCACTTTAATGAGTCTATTTCTTTTCAAGACGTGTGCACGCGGGAACTTACATTGCTTAACGCAAAAGCCAAGACAATCATCCATCCCCATCCTCCGTTCGGCGGTACTCGCGTAGTCATTTTGGCAGTGAACGCTAGGCACTCTCGTAGTATATAATTCCTGAGTGAACTTCGGCACAGCGTGAATTAAATGTTCCAGGCACGATGTTCGAATTGTCTCAGGTGGAATGCTATGAATATTTCACCCTTATTTCAAACGGGTATTCCATACGTCTCACTTCCACCTTTGCTTTGATTATTTGCACAGTCACCGGTCGTTTCACGGGTCAATAAATTTCCTATGGTACGATATTTCACGATGATCTCCCCGCGCTTTAAAATCAATCGCAAAATCGTTATCGAACAATCGCGGAATCCATTACCTAACAATCTTGTCGGAGAGCATGCGTTATCTGCGGTTTTAATCGTGGCATTAGAATCGATTTTAATTTACATTCGATGAATCAGCGAATTTTGCAATATTACACAACTATTGTCTAACCTAACCGGTTTGCGGTTAAGCTACTTGAAAATGTTTCACAAAAGGAATCTCATACGATCGAGTACCGCACTGTTTGCGTATAAAGTTGCAAATACTGTTACATAATCCGCATATCGGTGAACGCTTCTCTTCTTCACAGGCTTTCCTGAGTGTGTTGATGCGATCGTCCTGACACTGATGCACCGACAATTATAATACATGAATGCGAAATCGCACGATGTTCAATGTTCGATACAGCTTTATCGCAATCTACCTCGGGCAATGATAAAAGTCATACTGACGATGACAAAACTGAATTTGCTTTCGCGAGAGATAAGAAACGTCTATAGCTCAAGATTAATCTAATCTGGTATACTTTACTTGTCATGGATGTAACTTGACGTCGATACAAAAAAAAACACAAAGTTCGCGTGACCAACGTTTACTCAGGAAGTTAGTTGGATTGAATTGCATTTGTTACCGGAAGAATCACCGTGTAGGATGACGTATCTTATTGCTTTCGTTAGCCGATAGCATATATAGCGTATAAGGTCGTTAATTTTATTCGAACACATATTTTTAATTATTCTAATCGAGGTGCGGTCCAAAATTATGCGACACACATTTCCTCTCTTCTTCTGGCACGTATATTTAAATACAAAAATATTTTTATACAACAGACAGAAAAGTTTCCAATCTCGGATATTAACAGCTAGTCTGAGTCAATAATACAATATTATTGTAATAAATAGGAACCAATGGCATGCGAATGTATGTCGAATTATTTATGTGCATATGTTTATATACATGCGCACATCAAAAGTGCACGAGAAAGTGTATATATCATGCACGTATTTACACAAGATTGTTTTTTGTATTGAGACGCTCCTTGTATTGATAACCGCTATCAGTGAGAAAGAGTGTGAAAATTAATGTGAACGCTTCACCTCGCCAAAACGCAGAGTCATATGATTGTAATTTAGGTCGGAGCCTTCGATTAATTAACGAGTATTTTGATTTAATCGACAATGATATTGCTTGTGTGTATGTGTGTTCTCTTAAGTTGAATCAGTGAAAATATTTCTAATTGAGTCAGTAATTGAATATTTCTACCGATTCTACCAATAATCAGCGAATATTCATTAATTTTTAATGGACACACTTCCACTTAACTCTTTTGTCTTATACTTCACTGATTTTGGTCAGTAAAAGATTGACTGCAAATCGCTGTTACGCCTGCCGTAAAGAAATATATGTGCATATACGTATATGCATTCCACCATATGCCGTACTTGATGTAATTCGTATGGTAACAAATGCAAGAGTCAAATATTCCGAGTTCGAATTCTATCAGGATTAACGGAATTTTTCAAATAAGATATAAATTAAATCAATTAAACATGTTTATGAATATTCCCGGTAGAATTATTGACGATATCTTAATAATGTGATTAAGATAATATAAAAGGAAAGTAATAGATAATATTTTTCTTCATTGTTTCTGCAGTTAGATTTTCCTGATGGAAACAGTCGCTATTAATAGTCTTTTGCAACGAAATAGTACTGATTTGCAGTGCTATATTTATAACTGTGTGCGTGCATCCGTTAATGTGTGCCTTTATGCGTACAAATTATTATGGTACATCAACATTATATCAGTATAAATCTTATATCTTCAACATACAGCACTTTCACAAAAGCAGTCGTAAGCCGCGAGTATTGAGCCGTCTCTCTCGAGTTAATTAATTATTATGCGGTCACGCGAGAGAACTCTCTTACTCTACCGGCAGGCCTCTCCGAGGCAACCTTAAAAGCTTTCCGCACGAAGTCCAGAGTCCGCTTATCATCCACAAGAAGACGCACGACATACTGAGGAAGGACGTGAAGTAAAGCGCGCCCACGTAACTGTTCTTTACGTCGTGTACTACACCTGCGTGCAACAAGGTCCAATTAGAACCATACGAAAAATCAAGAAGAACGACGTCGCTTCGCGTCAACGTCAATTTCGAGAGATAATCGTGCTCGAAGAAAATTACGGGATCACCGTTGAGAGACGCCGTTTAGAGTCTCGATTTCGTTTTACCGATAATGGGTCCCACGCTGATAGACAGGATGCCATTGCAGACCATCTGGATGCCGGATGCGGCCGGCAGCCTCTCCAATGGCACGTAATCGGGTATAATTAGAGCTTGGAAGACAGCCTTGGTTCCCTTCGCCACTCCGACGATCAGCGATACCACGATTACCACGACGTAGGAGTTGCCCCATGTGGACAGAACTGTAAACAAGAGATTGATATTAAGTACGGTTAAATGTGCGATAATTTGCACGAAAAGTCGAAAGCGCATGAATTAACGACCATACATCGAATTAGTGCTATCAGCATAAACCAGATATTGCTGCATCGGGTTCACAGTTACGAGTACCACTCGAGTACTCAAGTTCAAGGGTACTCGAATTTTAAGGTATTATACGAATATTTTGAATAATTATTTAAATAATGAAGTTGCTGTAACCACTGAAGAGATTCCTTATGTTCGTATACTTTATGCGGCGGTACGTACTAGTCCTTCCAAAGGTCGACCCCAACAGGGATATCAGATAGAGATTCCTACACGTCCAGCCAGCTTTCTGCGCCAAGAGCGGCACACAGAGGCGTCCGGTGATGTCTGCGGCGGCTTGAATCGACATCACCGTGGCAATCGACGTGCGATCGAGACTCGTCAGCTCGGCCAGAACGAATGGTATCATTGCGTTGAAGTTCACCTCGGCCACTAGCGAGATGCTCATTCCTGTTTACCGAGCCGAGTGTATTAATCAAGTTATCTTCGTTATAACTGCGCCCGGCGATTCAGTTATTTCCAACTTACCTAATACTATCGCTAAGTAACGATTGTCACGCAGCAGATCGAGGTCCAAATTCGTGGCGATCCGTTTGAGGATTGAAGTCCTTTCTTCCGGCTCCGCTTTACCGTTCTCCAAACGAACGCTCGACTGTCTCCTCTCTTCCGAAACAGTCTCCTCGTTCATCAAACGACATTGAAAGCTGTCGTTCCTCGGCTCTGCTTCCTCATCGCTCGTGGCTTCTATTCTCGCGCCATTCCGTTTCCCCGACACGTCCGTAACTTCATTCGCCAAAATCAATCGCTGAAAATGAAAAGAGAGCCCTCTCCCAATACGACTTACATTTTATTTACATTATTTTTCATGTGTATTTTATGTACGTGACGATTTCCTCCTTTTACATACCTTGAACTCACCTTTTCGCGCTCCTCGAACGGTTTCAATAGCGACGCACCCACGAGAGAATGCGTGGCGATGCCGGCGAGGATCAGGAGAGTGCCGGTCGTGGCATAATTTTCCAGAAGCACGTCTATCAGAAGAGGCATCAAGATCGGGCCCAAGCCGGTCATCGTGACCGAGAAACCCATGGCTATGTTGCGCTTTCTGCGGAAATACGTATTCATAGCCAGGCTGGTCGCCGGGAAGATAATACCTTGGCCGATACCTGTAACAACGCGTCGATCGTGAGACTTAAACAACATAAACTGTCTTTTGATACTATTAAAAATTATAATTATTTCAAAATTGCAGGAAACATGAACAATTAGAGGTGAAATTGCGGATGTCGGGTGAATGTATTTATATAAATCTTAGATTAGGAGCTGGTCATGTGGAGAATACTGTCGAGTTATTACAACTGTTAAAATTATTTCACACACACGTTTATTCAAAGGGCTCCGTCCAGTTTATTTCCTCCTAATGGCCTCAAATTAATAATAAGAAATGGGGCTATTTTTAATGAAGGAATAGTTATAATTGGAAGTAGTAGAAATTAAGCGCATGGTAAAATTATATCTCAATCAAGTGATTCTACTTAATAACAAAGAAACGTCCCATAAATGAGCCACTGGTCACTAATGGGCTAATGTTCGTAATTATCTTATTTGTAACATAAGACTGACTCACCGATGATGATGCAATAAGTGACAATGAGAGTCGGAAGAGACATGGCGAAGGCAGCGGCGCAAATCCCAAGGACGACCGTGAGACCGCCGAAATAGGCGACTTTGCGAAAAGCGAATCTCTTCATCATCGGGCCGCTTATCAGGCCCAAACTGCAGGTGATCGTCCCGTTAAGGTGGAGGATCAGGCTCGTTTGGGTCGCGGTGATGCCGAGGCTCGCGAAACGTTCCGCGAAGACGAGACCGAAACATTGCTGCACCGGCAGCACCGCCAGCTAATGAGAACGATCGGAATTGGTTCAACAAGCAATGAATGTAGCAATTCAAATTTCGTTGTACGAAGTAGTATAGTTCCCGTTCCTGCAGATCTTTCTCGAATCACTCTCACGAGATAGATAAGGGAGCGGACTTTATATCATCTTTCGATCTCACAAAATATCTCTTTACTTTGACGTTAACAGAATTGGACAAACTCACAATTTGTCATCACCCAAATACCACTACTCGTTTTATCTCTGAGTACCCAACTTACGAGTACTGTTTGAGTATTATTCGAGTATTACCTGGGTATACGAACGTGAGTATCCAAAATTACGGGTGTCATTCAGTTGTCAACTGAGTATTACTTACGCGAAGGAAAACAAAATTTCTTTGGATTCAAAACAATTTTTTTAATTAAATAAATTTGTCTTTCGGAATACAGCGAACAAATGAACGTTTGATTCAATAAATACGATTGTTTAGTTTCCCAAACGTCTATCTACTATCAAGGTATACAAGTATTATAGATGCTAAGAGCTAAGAGTATTATAGATGATATTATCTAGATGCCTGAACGGATATCAAAACTTTTGGGTATTATAAGGATGCACGAGTGTTATCTGAATATCAGAACGTAGATATCCCGAGTACCAGAGTACTGAAACATCCAGTTTGTACTGAGATCATTAATTCGAGGCCGCTAATTAACTAACTCTGCCGGGTTTCATCAATACTTTTCGTAAGCCAACATAAATTACTAACGGACCGCCTGTTCCGTCAACACGGCTATTATTTCCTTCTTCACGAACTATTGAAGAAACGAGAGGCAACTCGAGGATCGACATACTTCGACTAACGAACTTTCCTCGTGACCGGTCTGCCATATTAAGAACCCATCACGACCAGTCGTTCCGATCGATCACTCTGTGAGCACGCGCGAGTCAATTGATCGTTACTCTGCCTTTGGTTGCTTTTATCGCGATAACGAGAAAAAGAATCAAGGAGCTTACGTTGATAACAGTCACACCGACAACGATCGCCCACGCCCAGCCACGGTCCGCCTCGCCACGTGCCATCCTATCGATCGAATTATCTGATCACTGCGCCGCAGGTGTATCATGGGAGCGGGCTGTGTCCCCGGAGATTCGCGTTCCAGCTTTCAGCGAATTCGTCGCTTTATCACGCGCTGTTTTCAATTCGACTCATTGGTGAGCTGGAAGATTTAAACGTGCCGGATGACCGCGCTGCCGCGGCCGAGAATTGTACAAATGATAAGATACGCGGATAAACTTCCTATCTCATTTCGATTTGGTGGTCGATTGGTGCGATACCGAGCGTTGTCTGCGCGCCCACTTGTCGTTAGTCGCCAGCATCAGGAGAATCTCGCCCCCAATCCTCTTACACGATGACGCGTATCGCGTTTGTAAATAATTGACGGGCAATTTCACTGATAATGTCATCTCCCGCTGAATCTTCCCTCCGGAGTGCGCGTGTCGCAACTTTCCACAAATTCTGTCATCACAAACAGTGTCACCTAGCTGTGTGCTCTCGCGCGGCGAAATGTCCGAGCGCCGGTGTCGGCAGATAATGATGCCTCCGATGCATCCCGCCGTGAGAATACATTGTCACGTCGGTTCAACATACTGATCGATGAAGCAGCGTCGTTGAAACGGCAGCAACAGCGGCTGTTCGCTTCAATTCGACTCAATTGGCTCGACCGGCCGCCGCGATCGCGCTCGCAACAACGAAAAGCAGCGGCGAAAGCTTCTGACAAAGTGTTCAAAACGACGTCGAAAATATCATAAAATCGATATTTCGTTCTCGAAGAATAGGAAATCGCGTCAATGTTACCGGCTTTCTCCGCTGGATTATTTCCCACCTCCGAATTTAGATCCGTGTCAGCACGAAGCGCAACTATCGAGGCAACTACGATAAGACATTTTTCAAATACAGTATCTCCGTCGATTAATTATCTGAGAAGCACAGTTAATAATTGCTCGCGGATTTGTGAAGCGTTCACTTCGTTTTATCCCGTTTGTGCTTCGTCAGCGTCTTCTTTATCTTGAAATTATCACGTTAGACGTTCTCGCCGTCTGTCTCGCCGTCTCGCCCGCGAATCGCTCGCTCGGCGGCCAAACAAACGTGTTTATCCAAGTTTCCGCGGCGTGTTTGGCGAGCGATCGTCGAAATGTATTGTTTAACAACTCCGAGTATAATCCGATGAGAGTCTTTCGAAATCGCACTATATATATATCGACTCGGTGGACGGCTGGTTGGCACTCACGCGCGTCGAATCGATTTGAATACCAGGCACTGGCGCCGCGGAGATACGACGCGCAAAAGCTAGGAACAATATGCTCCGGCATGAGCTGCAGACGTTCCGAGACTGGCTCGACGAACAGGAAGCTTGATGAAAACCGGCTCCGCTCCTCCATTCGAGACAACGCGAGGAGAGCGCGATCATTCGTAGCGGCCGCGTTTTCGTTCGCGCGAGCGAACGCAGTCGCGCGCGCACGCACTCGGCGCGCTTAATTTATAGACGCTCCTTCTCATTCGGCATGTAAATTAACCGCATCGCGTATTATTCCGCGTAAGTGCAATGACACAGGCCGCGGCCTGCGTGATAGATCCGATTTTATCGCGGCGCGCAATAAAACCGCGTGACTTCGCACGGTAAAGTAGGTTTCGCCGAGGCACAAAAGCAGTTCGAATGCAGTCGAACACGATGTTGTATCTTGCGAGCTTGTTCCTTGGAAAAGCGGGAAAAGGAAACGCGCGGAAAGGAGTGACGGGAGCGGGAAATCTTACTTGCTAAAAGACGATGACTTGGTTTAACGAGGAAATGTTGCCCCTTTACACGAAAAGATTTCTTATATGTGCGTCTTTGTTAGATCAACTGATGCAGAAATATTGCATTAATAAAAAAAATGAAAAATAATAATATTTTTGTATTTCTGTATTTTTGTAATATTGTGCATAGTATGTGTATAATTTTACTTTGATTTTGTTAGAAATTAACATTTAATATTTAGGTAGTGAAATAAGTGCTAAGAAACGTGATATAGTTTGACAAATACTAAATTTATGAATGGTCCCTTTAATACATCACTGAAAATACTTTATGAATATAAAAATTTCTTTTGTATCTTCAACCAAACATTACAATCGTTATTGCAAACAATGAATTATTTGAAAGAAGTAACATTATGTTAGAAAAATATTAAAGAACTTCTTCGTTTCAGTGGAACAATATTTAACATATAATGAAATAAATAATTTTATTAACAATTAAATATGATTTCCCCCAAATTATTCTATTTTTTCTATCAAACAACATGGTTTATTCTAGTGAAACAACAATATTTCATTCAAACAAGATAATAATTTATATAAAATTATGTTATTTAGTTGCAGATTAAACAAATCTAAGTCGAATAAACACATGTACTAAATCCAAACGGATCTTCCTCTCTGTGTATCGGTCGTAAAAATACTATTATGATAAGATGGTATCAGCGACTTTGTGACGTCACAAATTACGAAGTCTGCGCAAAGATACATGTCGACATATGCCGATGTAATGTACTGGTATTATCTACTTGACGCATAGGCAAATAGTGGTGTGCTGGCGAAAAAGTGTTAATCAGCATACAATTTCTGCAAATATAGTTTCGCTATTATCGCTTTGTCGACTCCAAAGGAGCTGTTGATTGAGGTTCGGGGAGAAACGTTTTGGAAAATACCGATCTGTGTGTATCTTATTAATTCACATTTACTTATATTTATAAAATACAGTAAAATTTTGTAAGGTGTGTGTCCGGGACGATTATCAAGTATAAATGCGAACACAAACACACACATACATATGTGCACACGCATACATATAATAGTTACTATCATATTTAAAATATGTCATGGCGATATGTGCATTTGTAGTCTCTTAACTATGCCTAATCGTCGACTACGAAAAGCGTTGTATGTGAGTTCGATGGTCCATATGAGTGTTGCCATCATTATCACGGCGGTCATCACGTGAATACATATCCTGTAACTGCCACTGACATCTCTGATGTATCCTGTTTGTGACGGAAAACACATGTGTCAGTGTAATTTAATATCATCTAGACGGAGTGTATTTTGTCATATCCGAGTCACACGGACTTACCGATTAAGGGACTCATAATGACCACGAGAAAGCCTTTGAATACCATGAACATGCCGAATGCGTTCGGCAACTTCTTCAGCGTCACGTGTTCCGATATGCTGAGGTTGAGGTTCACCAAGGTGGCGCCACGTAAGAATCCCAATATTGTGAACATGCCCATCAACAACATCCTTTCCGTTTGTTCCGCCAACACTGTACGTGAGAGAAAGAATTTTGTACTGATTGGCATTGATTAATCTTATTTTTCTACTGAGATTGTCTTCGATTAATCCACAGACAGATTATCGCTGTAATAATGAGAAAAGAAGGAGACAAACGAAGATTGATCGCGAGGTTTTTAGACTTGAGACTTCAAAGTTCACACTTCAAAGCCAATGAAGATTACCGGAACGTGTTATCCCGACGGTGGTGCCGAAGATCCAGAAGATCATGCGCTTATTCCAACCGACCCTGTCGAAGAGCGTCGGCAGCAACAGTCGGGCGATAATGTCGGCGAATGCAGTGAGGGACAGACAGAAGGCGACGTCCCTTTTCTTCATTCCTGTCGAGCGTCAAGTTCCTTTGAGCAGTCTGCATGACTCCCGTCGAGCAGTGCCGTAGCGAAGCAGCCTGTCGAGATGTCGGTGCATTTCGATCACCCGAAGCGTGCGTTCCGATGATGGTGCCGGCGCGCAGATTATTTTTACGACGAGCACAACACCCGCACTTCTCGTCAACTTCTCATTAACGAGCTAACGAGTGGCGCTTGCTACGGTACTGGTCACGCTTGTGTGATTCGTATAGAAAGCTGGCTCACCGATATTCGAGAGGAAGAACGGAACCATAAGCTTGAAGTTCGTTTCGGCCACGTAGAAGAGACTGCAACCCAAGATGATGATTAAGTATGTGAAGTCCTTGAATAGATCCAAGTCTAACGACTCTTTCAGCTTTTTCACGAGCGATATTCTCGGAGGACTCGATTCGACGGTCATGTTCTGTTCGTTGGTCCACAATGCTCCATTCGACTCTCTTCTTCCTACGGCGCCTTTCCTTAGCAGAGCTTCGTCCTCTCGCTCTTCGTCGGATTTTTTCTGAAAGAGGTGTTCAGTTTGTCTGTGATATCGGTATTATTATCTGTGATTAAACGCATCTGGAATTCTTCCCCGTTGAATAATTCAGCAGAAGAAGTCGGGGTGACGAAATTTTAGCCAGATGTTGGAATTAGATTCGCGATGTCGAAATTACAGAATTACATCGATTACTCCATGTGTCTGTTCCGGCAGTCGATCTTCGAGCGGACGCAATAAGCAGGACCCCGCTATTGAATGCGAGGCCCAACCTCCGATAATGAGCGTCGTGCCGCGAAATCCATATTCGTTCAGTAACAAGTGTATCATCTACGGATGAATCATTGATTATGAGGAAATCGGTTTTCCTTTTCCTTTCTGTGTACCTCGATCTGTTCCAGCTTACCTGCGGCACGAGCATCATTCCAAACGCGGTCCCGGCCATGGAGAAACCGACGGCTTGTCCGCGTTTTTTGTTGAAGAACGTGTTCAACGCGACAAAGGACGAAGTAGTCGCGAGACCAGTGCCTAGGCCTGTCGGAGAGGAAAAGTGACAGTCGCGGCAGGCACGTCGGAGTTGTGATATATTGAAATAATGCTGTTAAGTCAAAATTTTCAACAGTAACATAATTGGAGTAAATCTTCTTGTTTAAACGACAAATATCATGAAAGCTACTACGTTATGTATTTTTTCAATAATCAAAATATTAGTTTCAATGATATCACTAATGAATTAAGAAGATTTATTCAATTTACGCGTGCTGTTGGAAATGTTGCTTCGATAGCATTTTTTCCGTGTGGTTTTTAATTTTTGATGTTTAATACGGCTTAATCTTCCAATTTTTTTATTGAAATATTTCTTCTAAATTAAGTTAAAGGTTAAATTTAATTTCATTAAAATAAAGAGAGACTTGCAGAAAGGCCGATTTCTTTACCGCTTTGTTTGGGCACAACCGAGCACACGATTGAAACCGATACCAAAAGGAAGCACTGCAAAAGAATATAAGTTACAGATCCGCATTTGTTTTGTTCGTGAAAATCGGTTTCAGAAAATTGAGCAATCGATAGATGGCCAGTGTCATTTTCTAAATGAGCCGTTTCTTTGGAACAGATTTTCAGGAACAAGATAGATGCGGACAGATTTGAAACTTATATATTCCTTTTCAGCGTTTTGTAAGCTTTCAATTAGCACCGGTTTCAATTATGCCAAGTTATTATGCCCAAACAGCTAAATGAATGACTGCAAGTCTCTCTAATAGCGTATAATATTTCTTCGCGATTGTGCGAACATTTGTTGCGACACATAATTTGCGATAAATCCATACGCACCTACTAAGATACTGTAAGTGCAAATAATGTGCAGCATACTATTGGCCCTCGACGTGAGTATCAAACCACTACAACTGAGGAAAGATCCGAGGAGTGCGACTTGCCGGTAGGAATATTTTTTTAATAACGGTCCGATTATAAAACCTGTAAATACATGAATTAACCATTAGTTCTCTCGACCGGGACGAGTTGCCTCTCTCTATATTTTTAACACTCGCGTCATGTTTTTCACTGCCATTTTAGACCGGAATTGCGCCTGATTGTTTTCCTATTAAGCACATATAATCCTAGGGAATTTTTCTCACATATCGCGGCACGAAGGGCGGCGTTTACCTGAAAAGTTGACGATGGCGTCCAGAATGCTCATTATAATCGAGGTTCCCGTGGAATCAACATTGAGATCTTTCAGCATGTCGTGGAACAACAATCCGAAGGACGGGTCCAAGGAACGTAGTGAAATCTGAATGTCAGCGACACAATGTACGACTCTTACATGATAACAATAACAGCGCCTCTCTCGCGGTCGCTCTTCATGAAACAGAGTTATAAAATTCGCGCGGCAACATCGCCGCATGATTTACCGAAATCAAGCTGCTTCCGAGACAAACGAACCAACCCCAGCCGCCGTCAGGAGCCCGTTGCTTGGCATCCTTGCTGCTGTTTTCTGCCATTTCCTTCGCGAATTAACGTCGATTAACTTATTTCCCGAGAGCACCGTACACATGGACACGCTCACGCCGTCTACTCGAAGCCTCCTTCAAATTACATGGTCACATGAGCGCCGTTTAATCGGACGTTGCTCATTGATTGGTAATCGTGCGATACGTAATCCACCTCCCTACTCGGTGGCTTTTCGCCAGATTGAACACTGAACACTGATTAGTGTACGATGGTCACTCACTGCTCGCTATTTACTGCCGCTGCTCCTACCGCCTGTGGAAAGTTACGCCAAATAATCTCAATGCCAAGTGTGTTTCCAAGTGATCGGTAGAGGCATACGGCCAATCGAACGGTAAACTCGCGTGACACGCGCTCCATGTGGCCACAGGAAGGAAAGGATTGTATTCGCAATGTTACATCATGAGTGTCACATGTGTGGTATGCTTTAATGAACTTGACGTGCGTGATAGACAATAAAAAGAACGTGTTCATCATATATCTGATATTATAAAGTAAATAAGTGAATAAATAAATCAAGTGAATAAGTAAATATCATATATGTTATACGCATATTTTAATAAAAAAAGGAACGTAAGTGGATCTTTTCGAGAAATATCTGGACGGTGTAAAGTATATCCGAACTGTTTGCACGAGATTTTCGTGAAGATCACACATTTTCGCGAAGATCACGAATAAGCGATTTATCCGAGCATAGACTAAACGTGTAACATAGATACCTCCTATTATTGTCAGCCTTTCGATACAATCTGAAGAAGACAACAGGTCAGAAACCTTATGTACATATTACGATCGACATGTACGCGATATTACGATATGTACGCAATATACGTTACGGCGAAAATAAATTACACGCAATTACACCGCCTTGCCTTACCTTGCCTTACCTGTGCTTCCTCGAGGTTATTCCCAACACCCCCACCTGAGAAATTGAGTTTATTATCACGACTACTCACTCGGTATTGTTTCACATATTTAACATATATCGTGCCTCTTTATATAACTTCTTACTTCTTGCTTCTTTCCCCGTCAGCGATGCGAACGTTTTTGCGGCTCGGTCAGCGTGAACGAATCAACGCACTCCGCTTAATTGGCGAATAATTGTTGTCGCGCGTGTCCATTGCGGTGTCACACGCGAATTACTCTGGTCAAGTTAACCGGCCTTCGCTGGACGGACGTTTCGGAGTAGCGTCTCGATGGACGATAAATGTACTCGAAATATTATGAAAATTTAGTTTGACTGATTGCATAATATTAATGATAAAGCGTGTAATATAATTCGTATATAAAATCATTTCTGGCGCGTGCGATTCGCAATCAGCGGTAGAGTTATCCCTTTTATCAGCACGGTCAAGAAGTTCGGTTTATTTTTACATAGATAATACATATACATAATATGGGCGACAATACTGATAATGTCTATGCTTCATATGTTATAAAATATATGTATGTGATCATATTTACTGTTGTGATTCGGCATCTTCACTGCTCGATTAATGCATGATTTGTTTCTATAGGACGCGATAAGATCACATTTTACTTTAAATCGAATCTTAATTCTCAAATAGGTTCGATGAATCATCTAATTTAATTGATAGTTTATTGTCACATCAACATATCTACAGATATCTACAGATTAGATAATTACGTTGACGGAGTGAAATTTATCGGCGCGATAGACGCCTTAAGTCTATGCAATTTGTATAAACGCGTACATGCGATTCGCGTGGGAAACGTTGTAGAGGTGAACTTCACCCATCAAAATAGTTATCTTATTGTAACACACTTCTTTTCGTCCAATATTAGGGCCGAAACGTATTCGGTAATTTATGTGTTTAATCTATTTGATTTATGTATTTTATCTATTTTATCATTGTTAAATTAATTTTGGTCCTTGCACTAACTTTTGCTGTTTTCCTCTTCTTTTAATTGAACGTCAAAAGGTCTTTAACTCTTTTATTTGACATTCTTGTGTCTTGTTTCGTTTCTGCCATGTTATATTGTAATGTAGTCAACTCGATTCGTTTAGTCGGTTGGCATCGTGAAAATTCAATTATCGAACTAACAAAACACACGCAGCAAAAAACATTTTATACTTATGTTAAAATAGGTCTTTGTTAAAATGTTTGTGTTGAATTTTTAACATATCTGTTTGTTAATTTGACATATTGTGTTTATGTTACCTCAATATTTTGTGTTGAGTCTCGATATTCAACATGTGTAAGAGTTAAAATAACGTTTGAATTGAACATTTGTATTAAAATAACATATTTTATACTTCAATGTTGATTAACATATTATCAATAGTTTCGTATTAATTTTTGACATAATATTCGTGTTACTTCTTAACTTATTCACCTTCTGTTAAACTAATACAAAAATTTGTGTGGATGGTTTGGGACACGTAGAATATGTGTTTACATTTTTTACTTTGCAAGGAAATATCGCAAATCGTAACTTGATGTTTTCCGATACAAACAGCAAATCGTTTTATATTACGTTCTATATTGTTCGACATTTTTGGCTAATTAAATATCAGAGATAACATCACTATCGATAATTGAATTCAGTGATAATCGGTGCATTTTGTGCATCGAGCTTGCGACGCATCGTTCACACTCGCCTCGCTCCGTTCGCGCCGTGCGATTTCAGATTCTGCAGCGACGGTTATATTTCACCGTGGATCAACGATGAGTACTTAGTACGATGACATTTTGTATATAGATAAGAGGGCCTTCGAAAGCGTTTCTGGCTTGTCCCGGTTAGTCGAAAACTGTCTATCTTCGACTGCTGTGGAAGTGAATCGCGATTATTGACATTTGCCTTACCTGTCTAACGCGATTAATTTTGTCGGGTGAGTGCTTGTATTTTATGTTTAATTGAAAGCTCAACAGTAATTATCAATCGAACACGCATCGAGTATCGTTCCATCCTGTTCACTGAACGTCGCGAGGGAGCTTCGATTGTTTCAACTTGGAAAACTCGTTACGCACAGACAGCTCCGACGAGAGTGTAAAAGCAGACTTGTGTAAAAATCCTGCCGAAGAGCTATAATTCGGTTGCATTTATGTGATTTGAAATTTGCGGAAAAAAACGAGCAACACGTGAGAGGCTCACTTAATCGTGAATGTATCTGTGACAGTCAGAACGAATCGGCAACTTTATTAAAACTGTCAAATCGATCGTTTTGCTGAAATATTTGAGGAACTCTGAAATCTCTCTTTTCGAAAAAATAAAAAAAAAAGCCCTGGTAATTTATCTGCATTTTCCCTCTCTTTTTTGTGTTCCTGTAAAGGAGAAGGCTGAAAACAGCTTCGCGTTGATTGGTTCGTTTGCAAACCGCTTAAAATCATCTGCTTCCGGTTCTTCGTGTGTTGATTCTGTGATTCTCGGTCGCGGCAGCAAATTAATAAAACATTTGTTGTTTTAATGCGTCGTTATCGCGCGTTTCGAAATTACTCTGCGCTCGTTTTCTTCCCACGGACACACATATCTCGCGCTGTGTCTATATGTATGTGCACACCTTGAGAAATTACCATTGTCGCTCGTTACATTTCCACTCTCATCTACGCATCTGTGCTAATAGATTTTACATATTTCTCGAACAAGTCTACTGAGAGTCAATTGCGACCGAATACGAGTCAGTAGTCACAGATGTTCTAAAGGGCTGCGAATTAGTTACGGGAAAACATTACGCAAGAACATCTGTGCTACCTACTAGTCTTGTGTGTTGGGTTCGATAACTCGCATTTATTACAGTCTTCCCAAATACGAGTCACTTTTCCTCTTATTTACTTCTTTTCTGTAACATTTACGAAATTCAAAGGGGACACAGCATGACGGTAGTGAAGTCCAACGGTACGATAGATGAATCGACCAGAACGACCGAGAAAATCGTCGAGAAGAAGAATGCGACCGTAATGAGAGACGAATTAGCAGAAGAAGAAGATGAGATCACTCTGGAGGACTTGGCGCCGGACGGTGGTTGGGGATGGATGATCGCACTGGCGATGATATTGATTATTGTCAGCATAAGATTCGATACGATGGCATTTAACATACAATCAAAGTGAATAAATCGTTGCTAGAATCATGCGCTTCTTAAAAGGGAAAGAAAGAGGGAGACAGAAAGAGAGAGAGAGAGAGAGAAAGTTGTCTCAAACGTTTGCAAATATAAAAGACAAGCGGTTTTAACATAAGGCGTGTGTTTCGTATTTGCAAAATTTCAAAAACTTGCAGATTTTTTAATCGAATATTTTCGCTGACGCAGGTTACGACGATCGGCCCATCGTCGTCGTTCGGAATAATCTTCGGGGACTTCCTCGAAGCGTCCGGGAAAGCGGGCATGGCGTCGAGCCTCTTCAATTCGGTTTTCATGATTACATTTTCCATTTCCAGTAAGCATCCAGCCACGTTTACTGCAATCCAATCGACGCTTCTACGTGTTTAAATGCAACTGTTGAATGAAATCATTTCGGAATAATCGTCACAAATTTCACGTGCGCATCCTTTGAAGGAGACGTACACGCGACGGAGCGACGTGTAAGCGCTTTGCGAACTTCTGTTTTTTCTCGAGACTTTCCTTAGAAAAGGAATATTTGCATTCGCAGTCGATACGCGCGATAAGGAGATCAAACGGCTTTCGAGATGTAAGCGCGATCCTCCGCTACCTGCTCTTATCGCCGGCGTCATTCGCAATGAGCTTCCTACATCTCGCAAATGTGCGACGCACCACGTTGACGCTATATTCTAGTAAATAGTAGACTCGAATATCGAGGATTGGACCAATCGCGAAATTTGGGTGCAGCATAACCTTCGTCTAGGAGCTTGATGACGAGTTAAAATCCGACGCAAAATTAAATCCAATTCAAATCCACTTCTTTATTCTTTTAGGTATGATGACCAACATGTTGCTGAAGAGATACTGCGTGAGACGCGTCGGAATTATGGGAGCGCTTTTCTACGCGCTACCGAACATCGTCCTGTCATTTGTCCGGAATATATATGATATGGCTTTCGTTTTCTTTTTGCAAGGTTTCGGACTAGGTCTGATCATTACGATCTGCAACACGGTCTTTAACGCGTACTTCGTGAAGAAAAGAGCGAAAGTAAGACAGTCATGGCTCTCTGATGGTTCGGTTGTGCTTTTAATTCCGGGTTCTTCGATTACCCGGAAGATGTGTCTCCCTCTTTTATTTTGATTTCCTCTTTAGGTGCTGAGCGCGGCGCAAGTCATTATCGCGTTAGGCGGCATTGTTTATCCTATATTGATCGAGAAGATGATGACATCGTACGGTTTTCGCGGTAAGATTCTGACAACCGTATCGCGGACTGTTCGTCGTTACATTCACTTGCCGGTTCTCGTTCGTGTCAGGTACCGCTGCGATCATGGGAGCGCTGAGTTTGAACAGTGTTATCGGTATGACGCTGATGCATCCCGTGGAATGGCACACCAAGAAGCCGGAGGACGTCCTCGCCGAGAGAGCGCGCGCTAGAGAGGAGAAGCGTCGGGAGCGTTGCCTGGCATTGCCAAATCGTCGATCGACCATCGACGTGATCCACGTGTCTTCCAAGGCGAAGTGGTGCAGTTTGCGTAGCTTGAAGGAGGAGAGTGACAAAGAGATGTCGTTGCTGGTCAAGAAGGTAATATAGCGGAGGAGCGCTTCGAGGAATGATTATTCTCTCAACGTAAACGTCAACTTTCTATTTCTCCGAACGATTGTATCCTTCAAATCGCACTTTCGTCGACTTTGTGATCAGACTGCTGCGCATAGGGTCGCGTCGAATTCAGCAATTGAGGGCGGTATCCACGGCAGGGCGAGATCAGGGTCTATACGAAGAAATTCGAAGAAAGGTATATCGACCCTTTCGGCGTCCAGCTTAGTTAATTTAGCCAGCAGTGCCAGCGCGTTGAGCGATATACGGCAACGTAACCTGGAGAAGAAAAACAGACGCAAACAGTCGGATGCGGATGTTCAAAAGAGGGTGGGAGCTGAGAAAAGAGATGAGTTCGAGGAGGGGCAGAAGGACGGGAAGGTGACAGAGTGAGTTAACATTTTAAAGTGCTTAGGAGCAAAGCGCGAATTTTGTAGTGCTATTAGATATTAATAATTTCAATATTAATACATATTGTAAGAGAATATAATGTTTGAATGTGCGTATGCGTACGTTATTTTGAAAAATTTCTCCGGTCTGCGCAGACATTCGGCATAGATAGAAGATAATGTTACACGTTAACAAAAAATAATTTGGTAAGTATAGATATATGTGTGTGTGTGTGTGTGTGTGTGTGTGTGTGTGTACATACACATAGCACAGGTCGGTTTCACGTGATGGATGTAGCGATAAAATTCGAAAATAGTAGAATGTACTTCCTGCAAATATCACCCACACGTTAATTGCTTCAACATCACTACCTTCCGCTGATTTAACTATCGCATTTAGCAACCAGCAATGGCATTTATTTGTCTTAAATCCGGTCACCCCGAAGTTTCATCATTTCACATCCATTGTCCGATTACACGGATGACATACAAGGAATTTATCTGTTCTGTTGATTCCACAGATGCAAGGTGATTTTGCGAGAAATTGTGGATATGTCGCTGATCAAAAACTACTGCTTCATAAATTTATGTTTCGGAGTCAGCTTCGTATGCACCGCTGACTATGCCTTCTCATCTCTACTTCCTCTCATGATGACCGATACGGGATATACTAAGGCTGATGGAGCGTTGACCGTCACTATAAGCGGGATAACCGAATTAGTGTCGAAAGTCTTATTGGCCGTCTTTACAATGGTAGTGAACGTACAGCCAAAATACTTGTTTTTCGCGGCCATGATCTTCATGGAATTCGCGAGAATCGGTGAGTCGAACGTGATCAAACGAATACATCCGATTTTTGAAGTGACGATTGTGAATCGCGATTTTTACAGGTTTTCTGATGTCTGAGCACACATTGGTGGGTGCATTAATTATGACCGGGATAATCGGACTGGTGCGACCGTGGCTGCTAGTCCCGCAACCTCTGGTCATCATCGAGGACATTAGCATAGAGAAGTTCGCATCGGCTTACGGCATCAATGCCGTTATTAGCGGTTTGGTAACGATTTTGTTCGGTGCTATCGTAGGTAAGACAAGCAAAAAGAAATATTGGTATACTTATGACACGCAATATAATAGGAATTTCGAGCCGCATGCGAGTGTATATTTACCTGGTTTGGTTCGTAGGATTCATCAAAGACTGGACTAACAGCTACAAAATGTATCAAGTCTCTCTGTTGGTAATGAACGGCGTTTTCATTGTACCATGGGCTTTACAATTCGTGCTTGTGGATTTTAAGAAACGGCGGAAGCAGCGTGCAATGACGAAGAAATCGTTATTCCCTGTTGAACGATAAAAAGGAAGGAAAAGTATGAAAAGTTTTGTATTCGGAAACGATGGTGATTTGCACCGATGCACGAATTTCTTAACAGGCGAGTGAAGTGGGGACAATGATAAAAAGGAATAGCAGTTTTGTTCTTTATTCATTGACAGACGTGTGGCATCTTAAAAGATACTAAATACATGCTTTGAATATCTTCGAAACTATGAGAATAAGAGAGAAATTTATCTAGTAGCAATGACATGGTGCCGAAACGATCGTTTCATGGAGGTAACACTTCTTTCTAGGTGGACTAAATTTAGAGACCTGCAAGTCACATTTCTTTTTTAAAACAGAATTATACAATTTTGTAAGCGTAAATCGATTTTTGTTCATTCTGCGATTAAAAGTACTTTGACATGGAAATCACACGAGATATTTTTACATATCGCGTAAGCTTAAAGTACATTAAATATGTTGATATAGTTAGTACATAGCCATTGTGTAGATTGACTTTAATTGAATCTCGAACACATTGGAATATTTTTACATTTTCAATCATATGCGGGGATATCTCAAACTTGAGATTTCTTTTTGCGCTGCTCAATTTTGATGTTGAATCCATCATTCCTCTTTAGGGCAATCTCTGCTAGCAAATGAAAATCTTGATACGACACATCAGAAGTAATCCGATAATTCCTTAATATCGTGGACAGCAAAATTTTCATTTACCAACATAGCGTACTTTTGTCCCAAGCACGACCTATGAAAAAAAGTACGATCGCTGTTGAAGTTAGTGTTCCAAGAGAAAAAGAAGGACATCGAAAAAAAGGAGAAGAATAATATGCATAACATCGAGGCGGAGCATTTAACCAAGAAAACGAAAGACGACATGAGCACAAGAAATGCAACCATCTGTTGCATTTTGCAGTATTTCGAGAATTTGAACAATTGATCTCGTTGTAAAAACGGGTTAAAGTGCCGTCTGTGCACGATCTCGCCTATTCTGTGATATTTATATATAAGGTAATGAAATATTAAGTAAGCCGTTTTAAAATAACAACGACAGAAACGCTTACTTCTTAACGGCCATTGCATAGTCAAATCCGATGTGTTCAACCTCCTCTCTGCTAACATCCAATGCTGTTTCCACTAGCATGTTAACAGCTACCTCTGATAAGTAATTATTGCAATCGAATCGTTGGTTTATTTTATCGCCAAGTCGTCTCACCAGATCCTGGCTGTTTTCATTAAATA